AAGGCTCCATATAAAACACTTACCTGCTACAACACAATGACTACGGTCCTCTTTACAGCCAACGTGGCATCAACCTCACAGCACGTCATCAGATTCATTGGGAATCAAGTTGCATCCATTACCAGGGTGGCAAATAGTTGCTTTGTGTCTTTTATTCGGGTTAATTTTGTCCAGTATAATAACAGGAGGGTGTCCTGAGAGTGAAAGGTGACTCAGCTGATTATGGACGTACCTTGGTCACAGGAGCTGCAGGGGAAGCACTTAGTCAGCCCATTGGGTCGGTTCATATACGTCCCGTCCACACAGGGGACGCACAGCGTGTCTGACTGAGAAGTGCAGTCTCTTTTAACCACTGAACCTGTTCAAGACAAAAGCACCTTCAGATCATCAAGGATGGGAAACAATCAGAACAGCAGATAAGGTGCCTAACGTAACCCCATTGGATCAGAGCTTCAATAGAATCATTTAACTACACGCTGACAGAGTCTACAGAGGGGAACGTTAACACTTATAATTAACACCTAATCTGGTTTTATAAAAATGGATACTAAAATCAAATATTTGGTCACGAGAGGAAAGAGTATCTGTAACTAGAAAATGCAATTCCTGCTGAAAATGCGTTGGAAGGCAAAAAGCTGAAAGCTGAAATGAAATTCAGAAAATTGCTGACATTACAGATATTAGAAAAGCTGAAATTAATTTGAAATTGCTGAAAATACAGAAATGGGAGAAGCTGAAAGGATTTAATAGATTCTGAAAAAGCAGAAATGAAAACAGCTGAAATGAATGTGAAATATTGCAAAAAAATACAGAAATCAATATTAAAACATTGCTGTTAATAGAGGCATAAGAAAAGCTAAAATTATTTGAGAGAACTGCTGAAAATACAGAAATGAGAAGCTGAATTTCAATAGATTTTCTAAAAAAATACAGAAGTTGCAGGAGCTTGAATGAATAAAAAAAAATACAGAAATGACAAAAGCTGAGATGAATAAAGAGGTTTTCAATTGTTTGTAGTAATATTAGTAGAAGTATTAGTTATAGTTGTAATTGTGGTATTAATAGTACTAGCAGTAGAAGTAGTAATAGTACTAGCAGTAGAAGTAGTAATAGGTTAAGTATCAGCTGGAATACTAATATTAGTCATAGTATTTGTAGTAACATTAGTAGTAATTGTAGTATTAATACCAGTAGAAATACTAGTAGTACTTTTCCCATATTTTAATATTGGAACAGTTTTAATAGCTGAAAGTGTGAAGGAGATGAAAGGTGCCACGGAAGAAATAGAATAAGTTGAATAAAGATTGGAAGAACAATACTTCCATCCATCCATCCATTGTCAAACCGCTTATCCTGCACACAGGGTCGCGGGGGGGCTGGAGTCCATCCCAGCCAACTTCGGGTGATAGAAGAACAATACTTGAAATGCTTAATGCATTCCAACAATAACAATAAGTTGAAATAAAGAATAGAAGAACAATACTTGAAATGCTTAATGCATTCCAACAATAACAATAAGTTGAAATAAAGAATAGAAGATTAATACTTGGAATGCTTAATGCATTCCAACAACAACAATAAGTTGAAATAAAGAATAGAAGAACAATACTTGAAATGCTTAATGCATTCCAACAATAACAATAAGTTGAAATAAAGAATAGAAGAACAATACTTGAAATGCTTAATGCATTCCAACAATAACAATAAGTTGAAATAAAGAATAGAAGAACAATACTTGAAATGCTTAATGCATTCCAACAATAACAATAAGTTGAAATAAAGAATAGAAGAACAATACTTGAAATGCTTAATGCATTCCAACAATAACAAGTTGAAATAAAGAATAGAAGAACAATACTTGAAATGCTTAATGCATTCCAACAATAACAATAAGTTGAAATAAAGAATAGAATAATACTTGAAATGCTTAATGCATTCCAACAATAACAATAAGTTGAAATAAAGAATAGAACAATACTTGAAATGCTAAATGCATTCCAACAATAACAATAAGTTGAAATAAAGAATATAAGAACAATACTTGGAATGCTTAATGCATTCCAACAATAACAATAAGTTGAAATAAAGAATAGAAGAACAATACTTGAAATGCTTAATGCATTCCAACAATAACAATAAGTTGAAATAAATAATAGAAGAACAATACTTGGAATGCTTAATGCATTCCAACAATAATACCTAGTACTACCTAGTACTAGTACTAGTACTACCACCCAGAGGATACTTCTCTCCACCACGTTTGCAAAATGGAGGCTGAGCACCTTTTCTTCTGGTTTTGGTAGTTTTTAATTTGCAACTCACACCACACGATACTAAAAACCTAAAAAGTGAATGTGCATGTAGTGTACAGATCAGAACATCTGGGAGCTTCATCCAGCTGTGAGTCCATATGACTATAAAGGGCCTTTGGTGTCTCCATCAGAATGAGTCATTGTGAAAACAGAGCAGAATAATGAAACTTTTACACACATCAGTACAATGATGAGTATCTTGAAACGTGTTCATTGTATACCAGTGTGTTTCATTGGATGTCCCACACGCTGCTCTGATAACTAGTAGGGGTGGGAATCTCTTGGCACCTCACGATTCGATTCCGATTCAGAGGTCAACGATTCGATTCTAAACCGATTATCGATTCTTAACTGATAAAACGATTATCGATGCATCTCGATTTTCTAAATTTTCGCAAATCTGAGTTTTTTATAATAGAAAAAAAAAATCTTTGTCACAAATATGATTTTCTATCAACAATGCAAAAACCAGTGCAGCTTGCATTTCAACACGATTCGATGCGATTCATTTTTTTTTTAAATTATTAAAGAAAAAGCTGCTCTTAGTCAATGATAAGAAGACGACTTCAAACACAAAATGCCCCTTTTATTATGGGTAATAAGCAGCATATCCCTGAGACAGAAAATAACTTATGCTACACAATAATACGCTACTTTATGGCGTTTGCATTTCAACACATTGTTTACATTGTGAAAAGTAAACAGAAATAACATAACAGTGCTAAATTGAATCATGGCAGTGTAGCATGAAAGTCGAACATAGTAAACGTGCTTCACTTCCAGTTAATAACTGGTGGATTCTTATAGAATATGCAAGTTCTTGTGTAAGAACAGGAGCTGGTCGACATGCTGTGATTTTGCCCTCTGAGTTGTGTGGCAGTTGTACCAGTGCCCGTTCAATCGTCACCTGGCTGCCATCAGGAACGGGTGCCTTTTTTCCTCCAAACTCTGAGTCGTCTCGGGAAATGTGGCTCTGCAGATTTGTCGTATTCCCGAAGTATTTTATTTTACTTCTACAGACCTTACAAATGGTGTAAGTCTTGTCCATCATGCCGTCAATCTCGTAAAATCCAAAATGCTGCCATACGGCAGCTTTTAAAGAAGCCGGTGCAGGTCAGATACGTCTCTCCGTTGCGGCCATTTTGGTGCCGCTTCAACTTTGTTTATGAACGTTCGCGAATGTGCGTTCGGTGCGTTTAGTGCGCATGCGCGCTGGGCGCACTAGCGAGCATAGCGGGCGAACAAAATGTTGCGGTAGGCGAACTAATTTCATTTTTAAAATTCCGATTATTGACTTTTCTGAATCGATTCCGAATCGTTCTGTAGAGAATCGATAGAAATCAAAAAATAACCCCTAATAACTAGTGTGTGTAGGGATGGGGCCGATCCGATCCAGTATCGGTATCGGGACCCGATACCAGAGAAATTCAGGTATCGGATTTTCCGATACAACCTTTGGAGATTTCCGATATCAATGAGCCATGTCTGCGCTTTAACGTCGTCTGGTGAAATGACTCTAAAAGTGACCCCCGCCTGCTGGTCTGCTAGTCTGCTAGCTGGCTGCAAACTGTGGAATGGATTTCCTGAGCGTGTCTCATAACTGTCTCATTCAGCCGCGCCTCCGTTCAGGAATCCATTCCACAGTTTGCAGCCAGCTAGCAGACTAGCAGGCTAGCAGGATAGCGCTGAGGCTAGACAAAATGTCCGCTGTGTGGAGATTCTTTATGATAGAATGCAAATGCAAATGTATTTAAAAGAACCAACAATGGGTGAGAAAGACAGTCCCTTCCAGTACTGGGCCACTAACCCAGCAACCACGCCCGCTTTCCTCTCCTTGCTGCTGTAAAGTTTCTGAGTGCCCCTTCAATCAGTGTGGAAAGCGAAAGACTGTTTAGCACGGCAGCCAATATCGTGGATGTAAAAAGGAATCGTCTAACTGCAGAGAGCAGAAATGCTCATATTCCTCAAGAAGAACCTGCCGATGTCAGATTTGTTGAACACTAACATCACTTCCTCAGAGTCAACTTTGAGACATTCAAGTTTTGTTTTCTTTTAAAGAATAGTTAGACTCTGGTGTTTAGTTTATTCCAGGTCATCTTAAGTGATGTTGTGATGCACACTGTTTTAAAACTTATTGTGTGTGTGTGTGTGTGTGTGTGTGTGAGAGTGAGTGTGATTGCGTGTGTGAATGAGTGAGACTGTGTCAAGTGTGTATATGTGTAAGATGTTTACAGTTATTTTATTGCACTTTTCTTCAGATATTTGACATGTTGTTCATGATACAAGAGTCAGTTTACTTGATTTGTGGTGTTATTTTTGTGAATGAGTGAGTGAGACTGTGTGTCAAGTGTGTATGTGTGTGTGTGTGTGATGTTCACACTTGCACTTTTCATATTTCTAAATTTGTAAGACTCAAGTATTTGACATTTATGAAATGAAATAAATATTGACATGACAATCAATCTGAAACCCTCACAGATTTTTTTCTGTTAACAGTGAAAAAATGTGGATGTGGTGCGTCCCTAAGTGTGTGTAATAAGTGGTCAAATAACACAAAATCCCCCAAGAGGAACGTAGCTGTAGACATTAAAGCCACATCCATGTTTGGATCAAGAAATCACACACACACACACACACACACACACACACACACACACACACACACACAGAGACGGTGTGTCCGCTTACCTTCGTAGCACATCGGACAGCACTGGCGGGACTGTAGTTCGTACTCCTTGGACAGACAACACGTCCCTGGAGTCACGAGGACGGAGACACAGAGGACCGCACCTAAACAACAGCGGCGTTAATTAAAGTCACGATAACTTCACCTCAGAACCTCTTTGTGCTGCGAGACACTTACAGAAGAGCGACCGACGCATTCTACAAACACCCGTTTCTACTTTTAAGTTCCGCGAACATGTCGCCATTTTTCCCTCCTCCTCCTCTTCCTCCATAATGGCGGCTGGTTCTTCTGGATTGTTGGAATATTAGAACGCTTGATGTATAAACATTTATTAAAAAGCTCTTCTGCTGTTCGAACAACACGTATCTTTAACCGGAGTGAGGCGGACAAAAAGCTGCGTCTTCATTGTAGAACGACGGGGTATCGAAACCAAAATCCCGTGTTTGTCTTCCCTGACTTTCAAACAGGAAGGGAGCGCAGCAGCTGGACCGGAAGTACGCACATTTTCACAGTAAAGGTCCACGCCAAAGCGAGTTGATCCAAACATTACCAGAGTAACATTATACAAGTTAATAAATAAACCAGGGCCAATGGGAGTGTAACGGCAACAGCCGTCCACCACACAAAGACTAATTTGTATTCATCAATGTACACAACAATACTCATTAATCAGTGCACTGTTTGATGCAGTATGAGGCACAGAGATTTTTGGGGGGCAGGTGCTCAAACCAAAACAAAAGGGCATTCATCGCCAAAATGATTCAGCAAATTGAAAATGAATAATAAATAATAATATATATAATATATTAATATAATAATATAAAATAGTAAAACTGCCTTTAAATCCTCTCTCCCTCTCAGTAAACAGCTGGACAAACTTTGAAATCACGCATTCGTGAATTTATTGTTTGTCCATTTTTTAGGAAACGTCGGACCAGTTGCGACGTAATGTTTTCAGTGGAAGGTCATATTTACGCAGAGAACGTCAGAGGGGGGATCCCACTCCCGGGATGGACAGACTACAATGGATGCCATGTGTACAGAATGCACAATGTATAATACATGCAACTATATGACAGAAATGATTCCTATGACAGAAATGATTAAAGTAACTGAGTAGTAAGCCAGGCGCACAGCAGGACCACTGCAGGGGCAACCACCATCAGATAGAACCACCATCAGCTAGAACCACCATCACATAGAACCACCATCAGCTAGAACCACCATCACATAGAACCACCATCACATAGAACCACCATCACATAGAACCACCATCAGCTAGAACCACCATCACATAGAACCACCATCACATAGAACCACCATCACATAGAACCACCATCAACTACCACCAAGATACGCTAGAACTACCATTACATAGAACCACCATCAGATAGCACCACCATCAGATAGAACCACCATCACAAAGAACCACCATCAGATAGAACCACCATCACAAAGAACCACCATCAGCTAGAACCACCATTACATAGAACCACCATCAGATAGAACCACCATCAGATAGAACCACCATCCACAGAAGCCTGTGGGGAGGGAGAGCACAGAGACTTTAGGAGAGAGTAATGTTGGTTTATGAGTACAGTAATATGATTAATATCTAAAATAATAATGATGATGATGATGATGATGGCAGCAGCAGGCGTCAGCAGGGTCACGGTAGGTGTCAGGACCAGGGTCCCGAAGGAACCACGATCTACGGAGACCTGATAGGGGAGAAAGCACAAAAAAAAACTCCCGGAAAGAAGCTGAATTAGTCATGTGCATTAATAAAACGTGAATTATGGTAGAACGAGAGCGTGAGAGAGGAGCTCGGTGTGTCCTAAGAATTCCCCCGGCAGTCTAAGCCTATAGCAGCTTAACTACCCACTAAACATTGGACGTCGGATAGACGTGCAGATCATGTCTATATTGGGCCCGCCGGTCCATGACCAATTCTGGACATCTATTCGACGTCCATACTAGGTCCACTATTTGGACGTCCAACCATGACCCAACTTGGACAACATATTTACGTTCAAAATTTGACCTTCGAAGCGGGCAAGTTTTGTGGACGTCATCTGGACATCAATGACAGGCTGTTTATTTACAAATATCAACATGTTTCATGATATGAATAACCTATATTATTCATAAACATGATTTAATATGTGCATGCCTGTTTATTTATTCAGTGGGTAATTTTCCTGTTTTAGTGAAAAAAACCTACTGAACAATACTACTAATATATTTTTTTTAATTTTATTAAATTAATAAATACATTTGAAGTAGCCAAGAGGGGGGGGGCGATGGCCACTGATCTCAAAATAACTAACAACAACAGAAAAGTCACACCCGAGGACGGGCTGGGTCGTCTTGGCGCAGGGGTTAGAGAAGGTGTGCAGGGAAGCACAAGGTTGGTGGTTCGAGTCCAGGCTGCCCCATGTTCCATGTCAAAGTGTCCGTGAGCAAGACACCTAACCTCTAATTGCTCCCCAGGCAAAAAATGTGAAAAAGCCATGTGTTTAAAGTGTAATGTAAGGTGTAATTCTATGTCCATGCCCTACATTGTAGCGAATGGCTTAACGACACACATTTTTATTTTGCGTTAGCTAAACAAAAGGAAATTAACTGGTACAGAAAACATGTCCCCTACCTTTTAGTTATAGAAGTAGTATAAAACGTCTAAAATTAGTCTAAATTTGATGGTGAAAAGACGTCTAAAACGACCACATTTGTACTATAAATAGCCCTTATATGGAGGTCCCACGAACGTTAACATTAGACGTGCAGTAGACGTCAAAAAAAGATGTCACCTGGCGTTACAAAACAACCCCTTCAGTGGACCAAAATTGGACGTCCAAAATGACCTAGAAAAGACGTCACACTGACGTCACATTGCGCAGTGGGTAAGGGCTGGTCCGGGCTAACCTGAGCCAGCCCTAACTATATGCAGAATCAAAGAGGAAAGTTTTAAGCTTTACTTTAAAAGAGCTGACCGAATCTACCCCTCAGACTGAAAGTGGAACCTGGTTCCACAAAAGAGGAGCTTGACAACTGAAGGCTCTGGTCCCCAGCCTACTTTTTAAAACCATAGGAACAACAAGTAACCCAGCATCTATGGAGCACAGCTCCTTGTAGGGCAATACGGTGTTACAAGCTCTTTAAGATACAACGGTGCCTCACCAGCAAGTGCCTTGTAGGTGAGGAGAAGTACCTTAAAATCTATTCTTGATTTAACAGGGAGCCAGTGCAGAGAAGTTAATACAGGAGTGATATGATCCCTTTTCTTAGTTCTTTTTAATACACGTGCTGCAGCATTCTGAATCAACTGGAGAGGCTTAAGAGACAAACAACACAAGTCAAACCTGAAAAACAATAGTTTTATTCATATAGGAATCCATGTATTTATTAGATGATTTATTGGTTCAACTTTTCGTAATCATGTTCAACCCACAGAGACTGGGCCAAAATATACTGGTAGGCTATTCGATACGTTTGCACTTTAGGTTTTCAACAGCAGAGATCATCATAGAGTTTGAGATTCATTGAATGAATGAACCTTTTTCTGATACAATTGGCTGCAAAGCTTCACTTTGCAATCACTACAGACAGAAGGCCGCCCACGTCGTAAGGCACGAACCGTTAGGAAACGACAAGGCAGGGCAGGAGAAACGAGTGAACAAGTGAAGAAAGGGTTGGAAAGGAAAAGAGGAGGATACCCGGTTCATGACAGTCTCTCCCTTTGTCTCTGTCTCTCTTTGCCTCTTTGCTGCGCTTGTACCCTGAGCCGCTCTGCAGGGCGAGACTCGAACACGACGCAAGTCCTCCCCCCCCCCAGGGGTCGCGACCCCCAGTTTGGGACCCACTGGCTATAAACATCATGACAAAGTCACGCAACTTGGAAACTGAATTTTGCTCTTTGAATAGATACAAGATCCAAATACTGGGACCGATCTAGCAAACCAACAGAATATTACAGCAGGTACCGTGATTGTTACGCAGCGTTTATTGTGCTCTGGGGCCTGGTCACATGCCCAATAACATGTTACCCCATTTTACAATACGGGTAGATTAAATCCAGGATTCTGATTGGTCGAGAGTGCGCTCTCAAAGTAACAGTTGGATTTTGCCCGACTGTCAGTTGTCATTTCAGCTCGGTGACGATCGCCGAAAAAAACACCGGAAACACCGCAAATGAGCAGTTTCGGGCAACGCGACCTTCCAACAGTTCCATTGGCAGTCACCATGATTGACAGACGAGGTGGTGTGTTTGGGCTCATGAGCTGCTCCTTTACTTCGCCACTCTCTTCTCTTCAAATTCATCCATCCAAAGGATCTTGATTATAAAGATTATGCAAAATGGCGCCAGGATGTCCAACTATGTGTTGCCTCAACGGTACACGAGCAGTAGTAAGTGCTAGTTAGTTAGTGTGTTAGTGGAGGTAGAGTCTGAAGAGGTGTGTCTTTAGTCTGAAGATGTGAAGGCTCTCTGTGGTCCTGATGTCTTCAGAGACCTCCTTCCACCATTTAGGAGCAGGACAGCAAAGAGTGGAGATCTAGTCGAGTGTTTTGCTCTCAGTGAGGAGGAACAAGCAGTTTATCACATGCAGAGCGGAGAGTGCGGGTCGGGGTGTCGGGTTGGACCAGGTCCTGGATGGAAGCTGGACCCCATCCATTCACAGCACGGTACGTGAGCACCAGTGTTTAGAACTGGATGAGCCACCGGTACCAGTGAGGAGAGCGGAGGAGTCGAGGAGTGCCCAACTGTGTGTCAACTGCCATCGAGTCCACTTCCTCCATTTACGGTCCATCTGTGGTCCTGTCGGCCGTAGCCTTTGTGTCAGTGTTTCCATGATATGTATTTCCCCCACTGTGTCGACCCAATGGGTCCGAGGGGGTAGATCTTCCATCCCCCACGTCCTTGTGATGGCCTTTTTGCCTGCAACCATGAGTATCTCGAATAGATGGAATAGATACGCATAGATAATCTCTGTGTACATACACAGATACATCAGCTCGTGATTCATATGAAATCCGTATCCCAGAATCTCTTGCGTTATCTTATGGACCATTGCCCAAAACCCTGTTATTTTGTGACAATTCCAGAATATATGTGCATGGTTGGCCTCAGGTGACCCACAGTTCCTCCAACATGACTCACCAACAGGTTGTTGTCTTATGTTTTTTCCACATCTTGTCCCATTCATCTTCAGATATTTTCATGTCAAATTCTCTTTCCTTTTTCCTATTTTCCTATTTTCTTTCCTTTTTCCTAAAGCCCCCCATTTCAATACATTTGTGTCGTTCTCCGCTTTACTATGTCGAAGTAATTTTTTAACCATAATTCTCTAGGTCAATTTTGCGATTGAATCCATTTGATTTCTAACCTTCTTAAATGTTTCCCTGTATAATACTCTGTACCGGACACATTCTAAACGATTTTTCCATTTCTTTCCATTCCAAGTTTACACCTACAATGTCCATGTCTCAGCTGGGCCGTGTGGTCTTTCGAGTTGGGCAGACTCAGGCCCCCCTCTCCCTCTTTAGCTGGAGGGTTCTGAATCTCTCTCTTGCCCCCCATATGAATCTGGATATCATCCTGTCCCATGATACAAATTGTGTTTGAGGTATCTTTATTATAATGCTTGGAACATGTATAAAGTCTGGGTGATACATTCGTTCTTA